GCCTCATTTCATCCTGAGACAGTTCTAGATTCAGCTCCCCAGGGCTCTGTACCTCTGTGCTCTGAGCCTGGGGAATCTGTGGCTACCTGACTTGGGAGAAGTGTCCAGTCACAGGACATTTGGTGGGGAGGCAGTTCTGAAGAGGAAAATATCAGTACCACCATCAACTCACGTTTTACATCTGCTCAAAATAAACAATCGGAAGCCTTCCAGATCCCCTTTCCAGGAAAGTTTCTGACATCTCTGCTGTCTCCCAGAGGAGCTATGCCTTTTTTAAACTAAGGTTTACCATGATTGGGAACAACAGAAACAGTTGGGACGTTTTGGTGGTTTCTATTTCTGTTTGTTGGGTTTTCCCCGTGCTTGGGCCGAAAAGGCTGGCAAAGTCAGGGGCAAGTCCCAGAGCAGGGAGCACAGCTTTGAAGGAAGTTCCGAACACCGTCGGCATTTCCCTTCTGCAGTGGAAGGAAACGAGGAGGGGCCAACTGGGCTGGGGGTGCAAAGCAGGAAAGGGAAGGGAACCTCTGCAATCAGGGCTGCTTCCCTCCGCCTTGGCTTCATTGGGGCTGAAGGGGCCCGGGACCAAGGATGGGTGGAAGTAAGGAAACCACATAGAACCCAGGAGGAGACTGGCTACAGAGCAGGGAGATCCGGCTGGCCTCAAACTGACTGGCAGGAAACCAGAGCAGCCTTGTTGGAGAAGCATCACATTCACCCCTGTCTACTTCTTCCCATTCAGAGGGTGTTATGATTAGACTTCTCATCGGTTCCCTCATATGTAAGAATCAATCCCAGATTTACTTTCAGTTTGAGTCCACCTTCCCCTTCTCCTTCCATTGTGACTGTGTTGGTTGTGACTTGCCTTCTCTGCTGCCTCCCTTGGTCTTGCCCCCTAAACCCCATCTGCAGGATGGTGATATTTAAATTGCCTTATACTCCTAATGGAAAGCAGAGAGGGCCCACAGAATATTTGTAGTCAGAATGTTGAGAAGCAGTTGCTGAAGGAGGGACAGTGCCAGAGATAGAGAGACAAAGAGGGCAGGTTCCCGGGATGTCAGAACATTACCCAGGATTGTCAGGAGGAAGGGAAAGGATCTGTATTGAACACTCACAGTATTCCAGGTGGACATACAGCCATATAACATAGCCAATCCTCGTGAAATCCCGTAAAGTAGTGAGATCATCTCCATTTTATGGATGAATCACTGAGGTTCAGTAACATCAATAACTCTGAAGAACCCAAAGTTCATCTTGGGCCCTCAGACCTCACATTTAGTGCCCTCTCCTTTTTTTTTTTTAAATTCTAAGGGTATATTTTATTTAACCTAATACAGATAACGTATTATATCAATACAAAAACTACTAATGAGTTATATTGTGTTTTTTAAAAATTGGCATGTAAGTTTTCAAAATCTGGTATGATTTTTCTTTTTAAGTTTTTTATTGTGAATTGAGTGATAGTTTACATAGGAGAACATCTGTTTTACACTCATTGTTTCATTGCAATTATTAAAATCGCCGTGCATCATCATTCAATAGTACTTCTATTCCCTGTTTTTTTGTTTTGTTTTGTGGGGGATGTACACAAAAACACTCAGGAATATATAATAATTTAAACAACTAAAGGTAGTACCCTCTCCTTTTAAAGGCCATGGTTTCCTTTTTGCTCTCTAAGCCCCCATAATGTCCAATATTATGACATGCCCCTAGTGGAGCATACGTGGGTAGTAAACCTGTGGATAAAACCTTGAACTTCTGATCTATGGACCCAACTACTCGTTCTCAAGCTCAGTTTCTGCCTTCTGATAGGCCCCAGTCTCTGCAGACAGCTAGAACCATTGATGAGGATGTCAAAAAGAACAAACCATTGACCCCGACCATACCATACCAGGTTTCCTCTTTGTTGTCTGCGGAACTCAGGAAGTTGTTCTTCATAAGGGTAGAGTGGTTTCCTTAGGACATTGGAGGCCTGCCCAACTCCTGCTCATTTTCAGGTAGAGGCAGAATCCTGTTGCCCTTCTCTGGGCTGAGAGAGAATCGCCCGGCCTGGCCCTGGACCTGCTTCCCTAACTGGTGGCTCTCACTTGGCAGTTTTTCGCTTATTTTTGGTGAGAATGCTAGAGGCTGGGGGAATTTTCCATAGGTACCTTCCTCACCACACTTCAGCCCTGAGGAAGCTTAGAAGACCCAGAGAGCATCGCCCAGAGCTCTAGACTAGAGTAAACTGCATATCTCACCCACTTATATACTTTGTGATTCATTGTCCCTGAAGACCTAAAGTTTGGCCAGCTCCCTGATGTGCCTCTTCTGTGATTTCAGATTGGGGCTCCCATAGTGGGTGACTTTGCTCTGCCTTTGCATCCCAGAGTGGATGGTTTCCTCAGTAGTTCATTTAGAGGGGAGTGAGGCCATAGCAGCTGACAGTGAGGTGGCTGAGGGAGGAAGTTGGTGTAGACAGGATGAGATGCTGCAGTAGTGACAGGTTGTCTCTCCTTCCCCTCTCTCCAGAGGCTTTCTTCCCAGGGAGACAACAGAAAGCTATTTTCATGGTACAGACTTGGGAGGAATAGACAGATGATAGTGATGTGCTCAGGATGTGCACAGAGGTGGAACCAGTCCTGAAGAAACAATTCTTTTTGGTTCTGATTTGGCTTCAGCTGGCAGCAGCTGGCCCTGTTTAGGCTGAAGCCCCTGCCCTGGGCCTGCCTTTGACTTTTGGGTCCTTGTTTCATTGAGGCCTCCTACTCTTGTCTGCTATCCACACAGATATATTGAGGTTGGCCTTTGGGAAAGCAGTTCTCTCTGGAGCCACTTTCACATTCCAGAGTTGTGTTTGTTCATCCCCACTGCGTCAGCCATGGGAGGGTTCACTTTGCCCTCTGTCCTGCTGCAGGTTCCACAGATTCAAGGGGGTGATAGAAACTAAGGTGGTCTCTTCTCATTCTCATCTTCTCTCACCTGCCTCACTTCTGTATTCCTAAGTTCTTCCTTTTCTAAATTCTGATGAGAGGCCCCCCCCCAACCCTATTTCCATTTTTGAGCCTAGTGATCCTTTTCCTAGATGGTTGATGGGCTTAGAACTGAGAAGTCTTAGCCATAAATTTACCACTCACTTACTGTACATAGGGGCTTGGCACATTATGGGGGCTCTGAAGATTCTGAGATTCTAACAGATAGTCCTTTAGGGGCTGGATGAGTATCTAGCTTGTGTAACAGTGTATGTGTTGTCATTGCTTTCATTCTGACTCGTGGTGACCTCATCTGTGCAGAGTAAAACGGCTCCGTGGGGTTTTTAAGGCTCTGACCTTTCAGAAGCAGATCCCCAGCTGCCTCTAGGGGGCTTGGAACTGCCAACCATTTGGTAAGTAGTCAAGCACTTAACCATTTGTGCCACCAGGGACTTCATAGTAAGTGTGTAGCAAAACTGATAAGTACGACAGAAATCAGTGCTGTTTAAGGATGTTCTGTCAGTTCCATAGAAAATAGAGGAACCATTGCCCGGATCTACTTCTTTTAGAAGAATGCAGGGCCTGTATGATTCCTTGTAGTCCCTGGCCATACATGATTTATGTCCCTAGAGATGAGGGTGTCAAGCAGTGGGCAGAGATAAACCAAGTGGTCATGCGTAGGTTACTTGGAGCAGTAGGTAGAAGAAGGAATGATGAGAAGAAGGGCCTGCCAGGTAGCCTGCAGTGTGCTGGCGGGAGAGGCTGGATTTGTGGGGAGTCATGTGAGTTATCACATGGCTACGCTACTTCAGGAGTCCTGGTGTGGCACTGTGGGTTAATGCGCTGGACTGCATAGTTGATTTGAATTGCAATATCGGTGGTTCAAGCTCACCAACTGCTCCTCGGAAACCCTATGAGTCAGAATCAACTCGACAACACTTAATAACAACAACAATGATATTTCAGGATGTAGTTGTTAAGTGCCGTTGAGTTGGTTCTAACTCATAGCAACCCTGTATAGGGTTTCCAAGTCTGGTGGGTTTGAACTGCTGACTTTGCAGTTAGCAGCAGTCCAGTGCTGATCCCTACAGAACCCCATCAGGATTCCAGGAGTGGGGATGTTGTAGTGATCTGGTTAAAGTGTCAGATTGCCTTTAGTATCAGGGCTGTGATCTGGAACAAAGGCAGCCTGGCTGGTTGGCAGAGAAGCTTGGCTGCAGGGAGAGGCTGGGCTGGGTGGGACTCGTCCATGGATGTCCTAGACTTCATTCACTCATGTGCTTACACCTTTATTCATTAGTAAACGAAAGAGAACAGAATAAAAACATTCCTGGTCTGTAAATCGCATGAGACTGTCTCAGTGAATAATTCGGATACTTTACTGTGTTTTAATTAATTGGGAGGTGTATCATAAGTAATTTACTACTAATAATTTAAAGTGCTAAAATTTTAGAAATCATGTCTTACGAGATATGAGCAGTTATCTTTATGCTGGTGTTCTTGTTCACTTATATACTGACTGATAACGGGGTAAGAGGGATATTGTGGCAGTACACAGACTGTGAGTAACTCAGGACTTAGCCATGCGAGTCCCTGGTCATCACCCATCTCTCAGACTGAAAGTAGCTGCTTTCAACAGTGACTTTCACATTTTTGATCCATTCGTGTTGAGAGATACATTTTACAGTGTGCCTCATATGTGTATATACATAAAATAAACAACAAAAACTTCATGAAACACTGTATTTACCACTTGCATCAAGCTGGTATTTTCTTCCCTGTTTTGTTCTATTCAGTTTCATTTAAAATGAAGTTAATCTTGAATCACTCAATTGATTCCATGACGTGAAGTTTGGAAAACGTTGCTTAACCAAACTCAACTCAGTATGAAGGGGAGGCAGGAGGACCTTTCTGAACCTTCTTTATCAGAGATGGCTATCATCGTGAAGTTTTGAGGGCCCTGGAGGGGAAAAGGCATGGGCAGGTCTAGTCTCTCTGTCCTCCTGGTGGGGGCCAAGGCTTTAGCTCTGTTAACTCAGATTCTCTCCTCAGAGCTCCATGAACCTGCCTCCTGACAAGGCCCGGCTCCTGCGGCAGTATGACAATGAGAAGAAATGGGATCTGATATGTGACCAGGTATGGAGTTTGGGGAAGGTCAGGGAGGTGGAAAGTTCTGTCTTGGGCTGAACAAGGCAACAGGACCAAAGGTATTGACTGCAGTCCTGGGGTCCCTTGTGCAGGTATTCAGTCTGTGCTTACTTCCTGTTTCAAGAGGATGCTCATAACAGACAGGGTAGTGAGTGGGGGAGTTACTGAAAGATGAAGATAAAGGCCTGGATGTGCTATCCTTCTCCCAGATCCCCCCTCTAACTCCCTCACAGTGCTACCTTGGTTTCTTCTCAAAGAGCAGACAGTGGTTTATGGGATATAAGGTCAGCTGTGGAGGAGTTGGTATTTTTCCCAGCTGAGCCTCCTTCTATCTTTCCCTAGAGACAAAGCTATGCCTAACAAGTCTCCAGGAATGGGAAGCTCCAGCTGTCTCCTGGTACAAATCTCAGGACAATCAGGGACTAGAAGTTCTTCCGACATGATTAGTGTTTAGAGCTGGGAGAGAATGTAGAGATCATTATTTAGCCCCGAAGTGAGATCTTTTAACACCCGTGGCCTTGTTCCTTCCACTGCGTTCATTTGAAGATCACCAGCCCGTGAACTCAGGCAGACCTGTCTGCAAGACTAGGGGAAATTGCTTTTACTTCCTCATTTCTTGGTAGGTATAGAAGTAATGGCACAGAATATGGGCAGGTGTATTTACCTAACATTTTGTCATGCAAAAATTAATTTTTATGTATTTTTTCAAACTCTGAGCAAATAGCAATGTTATTGGTGTTAAGTGCAGTCTAGTTGGTTCCAACTCATAGCGAGCCTGTATTGGGTTTCTGAGGAGCAGCTGGTGGATTTGAACCATCAACTTTGTGGTCCGGTGCTTTCCTACAGTGCCACACCAGGACTCTAGTAGCTAACATTTATTTAAAAACTTGTTATGGACCAAGCACTTTTTGTATTGAAGTATCTACCTTAATCCTCCAAATAGCCTGTGAGGAAGATGCTATTGATTGTAGAGATGGGGACACTGAAGCTTAGTAACTTGTCTAACACTGGTAAGTGATGGAGCCAGGATTGGGACTAGGCAGGCCAGCTCCAAGTCTGTGTGCTGACCATTATGTTCCACGGATGCTCAAGGATGCTGCATGGCTTAAGCTAGGGGTCTAATCCAAGTCTCTTCTCTGGTGTGTTCCACACTAAGAGGACTTGGTGAGCACCTGCACCTGCTTGGGCTTTTGAAGAGGTCTTTGGTATTGAGGTTCATTAATTGATAACCTCATCATCTTTTGTAGGTTGCATAATTTCAGTTCTTTCTGAAGTTCTCCTTCTATTTGTTTTTAGATGGTATTTTCTAACATAACCATTTTTTTTCTGTACCCTCTGTCCTCAGATATTTCAGTGGTAGGACCAGAATATTTAAGCATTTTCTCTGAGCCTCCTTTGGGTTCAGATGAGGGTTTGGGCCCAGTGAGCTCTGAAGTCTCACCCAGCTCTCTGGGGGAGTAGGAAAGCTCTGTTCATGTGCCCTGTGTAGAAGTAGATAGATGGGATATTTGCTGGAAGTATTATTTCTTTCTTTATATGTGGTATTGTTTTTAAAGGAGTCCTAGTGTGGCGCTGTGGGTTAATGCGCCAGACTGCAAAGCCGTTTGAACTGCAAGGTCGGCGGTTCAGGCTCACCAGCTGCTCCTCGGAAACCCTATGCAGGGTCACTATGTGTCGGAACCAACTCAACAGCACTTCACAACAACAACAACAACATTGGATTTAAATGCTGTTGAATCAGTTCTGGCTCACAGCAACTCTGGATAGAGTTTCCGAGGAGTGGCTGGTGTAGTGTTGTAGGATAAGCTTTGGGCTGCTAAACACAAAGTCGGCAGTTCAAACCCACCAGCTGCTCTCAGGGAGAAATCTCAGGCTTTCTGCACCTGTTAAGAATTACAGCCCCAGAACCCCTCTTCAGGTTTGCTATCAATTGGAACTGACTTGATGGTAGTGGGTTTAGTTTTGGGGTTCGGTGTATATGTATGTGTTTACATGTGTTGTGATAAACATACAGGTAATAAAGCATTGACCATTTCAGCAATCTACATATGTACAATTCGGTAACATCAAATTAAATACCTTGATCCTGTTGCTCAGACACCACAATTCCAAGTTTTTCTATCACCTTTAACAGAAGCTCAGTGTCCCTTAAATGGTTGCATTCTTAAGCATTTGAGGTGTCTTTGAATTGCTGGGGCTTGGGGTCTGGGCAAGAAGAAAGTGGGTTTGCAGCCCTGAACTGTGTTAACTCTGCAGTCCCAACTGCAGGTTCAGGGTTGAGAAAACTGGCCCACCCCTCCTGGCCCCTTGCCCATCACTTGACCAGGCAGTGAACAACCTGCCCAAGCAGATCTTTGGGATTGTTCACAGCACTATAATCCCTACATCTTCTAAGTAAGCAGCAGATTCTTAAGAGTATTTTTTATTGTGGTTGTTGTCATGTGCCGTGGAGTCAGTTCCAACTCATAGCAACCCTGTACAGGGTTTCCGAGGCTGTAAATCTTTACAGGAGCAGAAAGCCTCATCTTTCTCCCGCGAAACAGCTGGTCATTTCGAACTGCTGACTGTGAGATTAGCAGCCAAATTCATAACCACTACATTACCAGAGCTCTTTATTGTGGTAGAATGTGTGTGTGTGTATGTGTGTATGTATGTAGTTCAGGGGCATGAATCACATTTACATTTCACATTATGGTGCCATCGTCATCACTAAAGTGACTTTGACATAGGAGAACATTTTAGACACGAGAAACAAGTGTTGGAAGAGAGGAAGGTACCAGATAGGAAACACCTGAGTCTAAGCCCTATTGGGACTCCTGGGCCATGTTAAGAGGCAGGCCACAACATCAGGAGGCTGATTCCCCCTCACCTCGGACGTTCTGAGGTCTCTCCTTCCTGAACACCCTACTCAGTACTCTGTATGTGTCCACATATGCATGATTCCTTTACAGGAACGATTCCAGGTGAAGAACCCTCCCCACACTTACATCCAGAAACTCCAGAGCTTCTTGGACCCCAGTGTAACTCGGAAGGTGAAGTGCGAGGCTGGGTGGCCTGCCTTTCTATTTTTTGCCATCCTGTTCGGTCTGGGGACAAACCCTTGGTGTTGAGGGTGGGACACCTGCTTCTGAGCAGTGGGCATTGAGTTTCTGGGTCCTGAGACCACTGGCCTGGAGTCCTGGCGAATCATGGAGGGGAGGTCTGCAGCTGCCATGTTGTATGCCCTCCCTTTCCTTCTCTTCCCTTTTTTGTACTATGAAGTTGGATTGGGGTCCTCCATCAGTGACAGAAAATTCAATATTTACAGAAGTTCAGGAGAAGAGTTCAGGAGTCAACCAAAGTACTAAGGGAGCTGGAGATCTCACTTCGTACCAATCACATTGGGTGAGTTGGATTTGGCCATCAGAGCCTCTTCACCTGGCCCCACCCACACTGTTAAGTGTCCTCTGAGGATGATCGGCTTGTCATGGAGCAGAGTTACCCCTGGAGTGGCTTTTGGTTCACCAGAGTTTTGGACTGTTCATTTTTCTGCCTCTTATCCCCATCAGCTCTGCCATCTGCTGACTAGATACTCCTGACAAGCTTGGGACCTTTCCTGGGGTCCTCGGACTGTGGCTTTGGGTGGAAGACATTCCCACAGCAGTTGAGACTGAAGTCTGCCTGTGACCTGGGGCAGGGCCAGGGGAGGCCTGTGGAAGGCTGGGAGTGGGGGAAATATATGGCACTGGGAGCTGAGGCCTACATCCTGGACTGTTCAGTGCCCAAAAGGATTATTTACTTGTTTGGGAGAAGACTAGGGAAAAAAAGAGATAGGATATTGTTCCCAGGAATTGAATGCCTTCTGAGTTTATAGACCCTAGTGATAACCAACCCATTGCCAAAGCCCCTTTAAATCTTCTTTCCAGCCTGTGAGTTGCTGAACAGGCAGAAGCAGAGAGTACATGCATGTGGTCAGTGAAAGAGGACAGTGGTCTCAGTTTCATAAAACCATAACCAGCAAGAGTATGTATAAATGAAAGTGACACAGAGAG